AAACACACTACTACTACTACTAATGTCTTTAAGAATTATCACATGCAGCTGAAACTAGGTAAATTAGAATATTGTTCAAAAGTAAATTTTTTGTGTGATTCAACTTACAATGTGAAACTATTGTATGACAAACTCAGTAAACGCAAAGTAAAATATATCAAGTCTTTCTTATATTATTATTATTTTCTTTTTAGTCAAATAAACCTGTTAAAAAATAAATGTCCAATGTTTCTTTCTAATTGTTTCTCCTATTGTGGGGTTTTGGCTTCTGACTTATATAATCCATTTGAATAAAGAGGTGACCAGTGGATTAGCATCTTTTAGCCACTCGATCATGTATTTTCCTAATGATCGACTCGCGGCGTGACATGAAAACACACTGTTCTCTTTTCCTCATTTGAGAAAAAGAGAACATCACGACACAGGTGAGATGTATACAGCTCGTGTTTTATAATGTTTTACTTTGGTAGTTTAATGTATTTGTAACACTGTCATTAGTACTAAAACTTAGATTATGATTAAATTAAACATTATAATTGAACAAGCCCTAATTGGTCGGAAATAAAACTGTTTTTGTTTCTTGTACCTGTGGATATATCGTTGTTTTAGAACCTCTCACTACTGCTATACAATGTTAAGATGTTTGATAAGTGTCAACCACAGGAAATTAGGATATCGTTCTAAAATCAACTTACAATGTGACACCAAATCATGTCATTGAACCACACGTTTTAAGGCTACCGAGGTTATCCCCGGTTCTTATTATTATGACAATGTTTAAAACCAGGTTAAAAACAGTTCTGTTTAGCTGTGCATACAAATGAGGGATTTTACATTTTTATCTTTCTTTTTAATGTACTGTGATTATTTATGATTTTAATGCTCTTTTAATTTTAAACTTATTTTGTTCAGCACTTTGAGTTGCCTTGTGTATGAATTGTGCTATACAAATAAACTTGCCTTGCCTAGATATTGCTTTTAAACAACAACAATTAAACTTTTTCTCTTTTTACAACCCCAGAAATTTGCATTTTCCCCAAAGCCAGCGGAATGAGCTCCTCAAACTCGTCCTTAGACCCTGCAGCGGACGCAGTGACCATATGTGCGTACCCTTCTGTCTTGACCATGGTGACCACTTGGCTTGTGTTGTACATACTGCTTCTGCCGCTGTTTCTCTACGTTATCTACCTCTGCTCCCTTCTGAAGAATCCCAGTCACTCAGACTTTTTCACCCTCCACATCATCGCCATGGAGATCATCACCATGCTGGGTACAGTTGTCTATTTGATCGGTGGAAAGCGTTCTGAGATAGTCGTGCAATTGATCGGATCAAACTTTTACAGTATTGGCTTAATTGGGCAAATGTTCATTCACACTCTCACCTGCGCGGAGCGCTACCTGGCCGTGGCTCACCCAATCATGTACCTGCGTCTGAAGGAGAGGGGCGGGGTTATAATCAGAAACACAAGCATCGTAGCGGTTTGGCTGCTTAGTGTCGCCATCATATCTGTTACACACATTGCATCTGATGCGGACACAAGTAAAGACTACATCATCATGAACATTTTCATTTCTGCCTGTTCCACCGTCTCTGTCGTCGCCTTCTGCTGCATCTCGGTTCTGAACATTCTGATTCGTCCCGGACCGGGGAAAGATGGTAGGGACTTGCGGCGTATCGACCAATCGAAACACAGGGCCTTCTCAACCATTATGGCCATAGCGTCAGTGCTATTCTTGAGGTTTATTTTTCTGATTGCGATGTATCTCTTATATCTGCTGAATTTTTTAAGTTCCCATGATTCTTGCCTGTTGTCTTTGTCTGCAGGCTGCGTCACGTTTCCCAGTAGTCTGGTTTTGCCGCTTCTGTTTCTCCAGAGAGCGGGAAAACTGAAGATTGCATCTCAGTTCTGTTCTTGTAAATATTTAAGCAGCCTTTGCTCTCCTTTTGAAATTTTTCATTTCACTGCTAATCTTTGTTTGATCCAGCAATTGTGCACACATAATACACACATGATGTGTTTAGCTTTTATTCTGTATTTTATAGATATATTTGCAGTGTGATAATTCATAAGTGCCTGGGTGTGACTGGTTGTGAGTTTTCTCAACCGCAGTAGACTTGGTGCACCAGCACCTCAACACACTGTACTGTATATATATATCATGATTGTTTATTGGAAATGAATCAAATACGCATGTGTGGCTCTCATGCACGTGCATGAGAGCCACAGAGGGGCTCGGCCGCGCTTTGACCAATCTTTTTCATGTGAACATTACAAGCTCTAAATAGATGTATAGTATTTAAGAATGTGATTTATTTCACTTTTATTTAACAAGAATAAAACTTGTTGGAAACAACAATGAGGACGGACACAAAGAATTAGAAAAAAAAACTGCCTGTAAATCTAATCTACAATCATAATTACATCATACATCAATCTTGGTTTTAGATCAAGAGAAAAGAATGTGTAGCTGACTTGTTTTTGTTTCAAAATTCTGTTAAAATTGTGCCCGTGTTAATTTTGAATCAAGATCATGTGATGTGTACAGTCCAGAAGAATTACAGTACAAATGCCATATAATATGTGTACTTTTAAAGTGGGTGTCCTTGGATATTTCATTTGGAGATTTTCTAAAGTCAACAAACTCTTGCTGTGGAGCATTTGCCTAATGAGAATTTTAGTAATAGTCTGTTAAAAAAAATAAAAATTCAATATGTTTGATTAGAAATCACAAACTAAATTGTATTTATCCAGAGAGACAACCGATAAATGAAACTGTAAGGTTTTATAGAAAACATTTTTGAAGATTATGATATGATGATAGTCTTGGTGACCACAAGGTTTAGAACATTATTATTTTGTTATTTTTTATTTTTAAGGAACACATGAATACACAAATGTTAAGGACAGAAACAAATCAAAGTGAATAAGAAAACGAAACACTGACTCTTGTTGGACTCTGGTTGGTTCACGTTTCCTAGTTGTCTGGTTCTATTTCATATGTTGCTTCGCCCTTTAGGCTTCGCTAATGCATATCTCTCGGAAGCATCGCTTCCCGCCCTGAGAAGATCAAACGATCCACCCTCCAATCACCTTCACGTCCTGGCGTAGGCCAGTCCCCTATAAATAGGGCCATGCACCACAACTCTTCTCCTTTCTCTCTCAGCTTTCCTAAGAGAAGCTTCGATTCATTTGATAGGATGTCTTCAAGCAAGATCCCCGCGCCTGAGAACTTGCCACCCTCCGGTGTCAGGCTGCGGATCTGCGACTTGTGCCCAGCGGCACTCTCCCAGACTGACCGCCACAAGTCCAGTGTCTTCTGCCTGGGCTGGCGTCGTGCTGCGGGAGAAAGCCCCAGTTGTGTGGCTTGTCTCGCGCTCCCCTGGGGAGGAGCGCGATGGACGCCGTGGATTATCTATGCCGCATAGAGTGTTGCCCTTGGTGGCATCGCTCATAGTGTGCTACCCTCTATCCACGCTGAACAGACGTATAGCTAATACACCACAGATGGTTGCCCTAGCTTAACACATCACTCTCCTCGCTTCATCCCTGGAGTGGTGCCCATGGCGGCTCGCTCATGGGGTGCTACGTTCTGCTCACGCTGGACAGGCGTAATACTACTGCACCACAGATGGTTGCTTAATAACATCACTCTCGGTGCCCATGGTGGCTCGCTCACCAGAGGTCTGGGGATCTGTGCGCCTTTTCCGTGCAGCCGTCTTGTTTGTCCCTCCCCGATCGGGAGGGCATGATGGAGTTGTGCCCTATCCCGGCCTTCCAGCCCAAGGTCTTCACGTCGTCTTTCAGATCTAGGATGGTCAGGGTGAGACCGTTTTTCCCTCCTCCGCAGGCTTCGGCGGAGGAAGAGCGGCGGCATAGTCTCTGCCCGGCCACTGACCGGGCATAGTCTCTGCCCGGTCAGTGGCGGCATGTGAGACTACTGATCCGACCTCAGACGGTCGGATCAGTCTGAGGGGGTTTGTGGGGTTTGGCACCAGGAGTCAGGGTGCTGCTTTGTCTCCACAGCTGGCTTCGCCTTGATTTCCGTTTGGCGTATGAAGCTCAGGGCTTGCTGCCTCCAGCCCAGTTGAGGGCTCACTCCACTCACAGGGTTGCCGCTTCGGTGGCTTTGTTACATGGCACTTCGGTGGAGGAGATCTGCAGAGCGCCGTCTTGGTCCTCCTCCTCAACTTTTGTGCAGTTTTACCTATTGGAGGTGGCCTCTGACTCTGTGGCTCATTCGGTTTTGAGTGCAGGGCGGCCCTAGTTCCTCCTTCGACAGACCTCGGTGAGAACTGGTCTGCGGGGGGGGGGGGGGGGTGTGGAGAGGTGTTGGCGCTCTTGGGAGAGGCGGCCTGGACACCTCTGCAGTAAGGATAGGCGCTCTTGGGAAAGGCGGCCTAGGCCCTTCTGCAGTCTGCTTTACACTCCTGGGGATCAGGCGCTCTTGGGAGAGGCTGCCTGCCCAGGTTTGTTCTGAATTCTTTCCTGGGGAATACGCGGGCACTCTTGGGAGAGGTGGCTCTGCATCCCTTTCTCTATGGCTCGTAGGACCTTCGTCTCTACCGCTTGGTTGCGGTATGAGCACGTGGGTCACGAGTTTGCTCCAATCACCGGAGTTCATGCCTGCTGGGAGTACATCGGTCTGGGCTTCGTTATGTTATGCATTAGCGAAGCCTAAAGGGCGAAGCAACATATGAAATAGAAACCCCAGTTACCTAATGTAACCAAGGTTCTATGAATATGTTGCGAAGCACTTTAGCTTCGAGCCCAGCAGGCCTGCCCTCTCTTATTCGGCTGAGTTCGAAAGGAGAAGAGCTGTGGTGCATGGCCCTATTTATAGGGGACTGGCCTACGCCAGGACGTGAAGGTGATTGGAGGGTGGATCGTTTGATCTTCTCAGGGCGGGAAGCGATGCTTCCGAGAGATATGCATAGATATGCAACATATTCATAGAACCTTGGTTACATTAGGTAACTGGGGTTTTTTCCGCTTCTGTTTCTCCAAAGAGTGGGAAAACTGAAGAAAGCATCTCAGTTCTGTTCTTGTAAATATTTGAGCAGCCTTTGCTCTTGTTTTTAGCATTTTTATTTAAATATGAATAGCTTAAAAGGAAACTATCCTTATTAAAAACAATTTTTTACTGTATCTGATAAAACATTAAAAACATGTATTTCCCACCTTTGCAATGTGTTTTTGTGTTATAGATAAGTAATAAATCAGTAAAATAGCTTTTTAATATCAACGCCTCTGATTGGCCAGAAAAATGATCACGTACTTGTAGGGGTCGCAGCTCCCGCTTTACTGTTTATGGCATTGCTCCTGCTGCCGCTTTGACACAAATAAACCTTAAAATTTGTGTATTTTGTATGGCCCCGAGATGCATCAATGAAAGTTACCAAAAGAAGAGCGTAAACAGCAGTCCCTACGATCTTTGACTTATTCAGAGAAGGCGACGGTCCAAACAAACTGAGAGCAGTCACCAGCGCCAGTTCCATGAAATTAGTTCAAGCTCCAACTAAAACCAATTTTACGAGTTTCAACCCAGTACTCAGCAGAAAACACAACAACTGTCATTGACTCATGAATCCATGTTTCACTCTAACTACGTTTAGTAAAAGATATATCCCTCTCCCGCCTCCAACTGGTTCAGAACGCAGCAGCCAGACTTCTCACTGGTTTTAACAGAAGGGAGCACATCACCCTGTTGTATTAAAATATAAACTAAAAGCAAATGTGAATTTGACTGACCCTGATTTGAACTCTGTCTCTTTCCTAAGCAAAAAGACCTGGTCTCCCCTTCTTCCATTGTAGTCCAAAGTGCAGAATATGAGTTAATGATAGTTAATCTGGAAGGCCAAGAGGGATCTGCATTCCTAGATTCTGTTAATCCTTTCCGTTGTTTGGAGAAGGAGATGGACGCCAGAATCTGGAGGGACAGCCTTGAGAGCCTCCTGCCTTATCTCAAGGAAGTAATAATTCTATAGATAGGGGAGGGGTAGTGTGTGAATGATTTCTGTTTAGGTCTGGCGAGACGGAGGAGACCTGATGGAGGCCGGACCCGGGACCCGAGAGCTGATACGACACGCCCCTTCTTCCTGCACATTTACTTAATGAATAGCTTGAATGTGTTAGTTAGTTTTTTCAGTCCGGATCAGGGTTTAGCTGTGTGACTTGGTGGAGCGCCCAACCAATGTTACACTTTATATAGAGGATAGGGATTAGATACTTTTGGTCCGGACAGCTGTTTTAGATTCTTTTTGTATTAGGGAAATAAACCTTTTTGAATTTAACTTTCTGAATCTTGGTCATCTTTATAAGGGATTTTGAACACGTCATTTTTTTATACAATAACCCCTGTTTTAGCGTCCCTCCACTGGCTCCCTGTGCGTTTTAGAATTGATTTTAAGATTTTACTGATTACTTTTAAAGCTCGTTTAGGTCTGGCACCCATCTATGTTTGTGAACTTTTAACCCCCTACGAGCCCACCCGCAGCCTAAGATCCTCGGGCAGGTCCGTGTTGACCGTTCCAAGGTCGAGGCTCCGGACGAAAGGGGACCGAGCCTTCTCTGTCCGGGCTCCTCGGCTTTGGAACGACCTGCCCAAGGAGATAAGGCTAGCACCATCAGTATCCTCTTTTAAATCACTCCTTAAAATCCACTTTTATCGAAAAGCTTTTAATTGTCAGCTTTAAACTTATAATGTTGTATTTTACTTTCTGTCTTGTCTTTCTTTGTCTTATCTTTCTGTATTCTCTCTTATTGTTTTAACTTTGTATTAGACTATGTTTTATTGTTTATTATGCTGACTGTGCAGCACTTTGTAAACATTGGGCCTCATTCACGAATAACTTCGTAAGAAACTTCTCAAATTTCTTCTCAAGTTGTCCTTAAGTAGATTTCTAAGAAGTCCCTTCGTGGGATTCATCAACGCACTCGTAAGCCGCTGAATTGTTCGCAGCTGTTCTCTCAAATTGATGAATCCCATTTCCTCGTAAGTAGAGCGCGCGTGCCAGGTGCTTCATTAGCATAGGTACTTAGCATAAGTAACCGCCCACTAATGCCCATATAAGGGACTGCAGGGCCGTGTGCAGACGCCAGAGGAAACAGCAACGGGCCTAAAGCAAAGAGTTACACTGAGCAAAAGAGTCACCCTTTTTTCTTCTTTTGCCAGACTGAGAATAAAGTTATAAAATGTTGACTTAAAAGTCGAAATATTATGAGAATAAAGTCGAACTAGCAAAATTATGAGATTAATCTAAGAATATGATGAGATTAATCTCAAAATGTTATGAGCTTAATTTAAAAATATATTATGTATTATTTTAAAGATGAATCTCAAAATGTTTTGAGATTAATCTCAAAATATTTTGGACCCTGGGAGGAGATCCAGCGCGGACCAGCGCTGAGACCAATGCAGACCCGAGGAGAGACTGGAGTGACCAGCACACAGAAACCAGCGCGGACCTATAGGAGAGACCGCATAGACTGTAGTGACCTGACTGGAGAGACCGGTGCGCAGAGACCAGCGCGGACCGAAGAGAGACCGCATAGACCAGACTTGAGAGACCAGCGCGGACCCGTATGGATCCAGGAGCATGCAGCACGGACCCGTATGGAGAGAGACCAGTGCAGACCCGTCTAGATCCATGGGAGAGACCAGCGCAGACCCGTATAGATCCATGGGAGAGACCAGTGCAGACCCGTCTAGATCCATAGGAGAGACCAGCGCAGAGACTCAGCGCGGACCCAGTAACCTCCTGCAGCAGCAGTATATATGCCATTGTTCTGTGGCCCGTGGATAAAGAAATGCCCCCAATAAATAGGAAGGGGTCACTAATACACGGCAAGATTTCCAATGTATTTGATAAAGCGTTGGCACATTTAATTTCAAAATGAATTAAAAAGTAGGCCAGATCTGCAGTGAAAAAGGCGGTATATAAATAAAGATTACTAATAAAGATTACTACAAATAAATAAATACATACATCGATATGACGGACATATCACTGGAATGTTGTATTTTTATTCAACTTCACCAAAGAGGACAACCCCGGCGTGTGAACATGTCGGCACTGAATGCGTACGAGTGCTCCTGAGGACTCGTAGGATTTGTACTTGCCCAAGAGAAATTCTGGTTACGAGAAATATTCGTGAATGCCACTTTCTTCGTAAAAACCTCGTAAGTAGGATTTACGTACAAATCTGTTCCTAAGAACCGTTCGTGAATGAGGCCCATTGTTTTTGAAAAGTAATAAAATAAAAAATAAAAAATAAAGATTTATTATTATTATAATGACACATACCATCATGTTTTAGACTTTATAACCACAGACACACGTTCAGTATAAGACTTTAGAACTACAGACACACGTTCAGAATAAGACCATAACACTACATGTTTGCATTTGATTGAAGACACTCACCATTTCTCTCAAACTCAACATCTGGAGCTGGAACATAGAGTTGAGGCTTTTCTTTCGGTGTTGCAGGTATTGACGTGTTAGCTGGTGTTAGCTTGTTAGCTGGTGTTAGCGTGTTAGCTGATAAAAAAATAGCGTTAATCCATCTTGTCAAACCACCTCCAGACTTTTATGTTCCGTCCACTTTTACGGCTGGGATCTTTCATTTCACGGTAGTCACTTTTACGCTTCTTAACTTTTCTCTACACTACAATGTCCGTGATATCCATTCCTTCCTCCCTAGCGCTACCTTCGCTAACATTTAAGCTATTTACAGTCTCTCGGGTGCACCATCGAGCTCAAACTGGCCGCATACGCAAAGTGGGTCAAGACGGGTCGGACACGATCGGACCATAGATCCATACTCCAGCCCGTGGAAAAGGTCCTAATGTCCGCAAATGTTCATTTCTTGCAGATTGCTCCTCATCTGAACCGAGTCAGTGTCCTCAAAATCAGAATTACTGTCATAACAACTACGCAATCGCTTATAAATAAAAACCCCTGACTTGTATTGTCCATCACTGGATAACAAATATCTGTTTAAAACGTCCGTATACAACGTTATGGCTTACAAATGCATATCGACAAAGCCTAATGACCCCTACGTGTACGTCACTTCCGGTCTCGGCAATTTTTCAGCGAATTTCTTTTTGCATGATAATTATTGATAGAAACCGCTAAGGGTGAAACTATCTGTCAAAATGAGTTTTATTTAACAGAAAAAAAGACCACAATATACCAACAAAATAAGATTAGGTCTCTTTTAATCTATTATGTTTTTAGCTTTTCATCTCTATTTTGATATGGGTTCTTAGGTCAGGTATATTTGCAGTGTACTTTTATGAATATGGGATCATTTAAACAACCCTGGTTACAACTAGTTCCGATTGCTGCGCGTGTGCAAGCTCAACT